AGACGAAAGTGACAAGAGTACTACAGCCCTTAGACAATACCAAGATTTCTCCCTTGACTCGTGTTTGTGACTCAGACTAACCAATTCGACCAGATTCAAGGACGATTCGAAACCCTAAAGCTGTATAAGCCTTCAATCCGAAAAACCCCTAAATTCTAACAAAACCCTAATTTCGATTTTGCACGAATTTCATCGATCCCTTGTGTTTGTAACCTAATCTCACGAATTAAACCTAAGACTTAGCAAGATTCGAAGTCCTAATGATCTAGGAACCTTGCAATCAAAAAAACCCCCAAACTGACAAACCCTAAATTTTTGAATTCGTCAAACACAAATGATTTCTAAACCTAAATCCCCCTTAGAACTTTAGCTCTGATACCACTGTTATAACCTAAGTCTAATAACCAAATCCGCAACACAAACAAACACAAACAAGATTCAAGATCAAAGAACCACACACACACAAAATCAAGGCACGAATTTACCCGTGGTTCGTCTATCCAATCTTGGATAGACTATATCCACGTTGAGCTCCAAAATACAGATACTCACAGCACTAAAAGAATATCCAACGATTACAAGAAGACAACCATACAAATCTACCAAAACAGATCAACTCTCAACTTAGGCCTATTCACTCAAGAATCTCTCAATAATCTGCAAGAAACAGAGGACAAGAATCAGCCTCAAGAAGGAAACGTAACCCTCTCTAAAACTACCCAGATTATACCCAGAAAGACCCAGCAAATACTCAACCCTAGTTGCTCTCTCTTTTGCTCTCACGAACCCTAATTTTTCTGTTTGACAAAAACGCATTGTTGGTTCACATCACTGTTGCTTTCTTTATATGTGCTCGTATCAGTAAATATCAGCCCTTGGATCTGTCTTGATCTGACGGCTAGAATATCACCACTGAACTTAAATGAAACGACCCCGTTTTGGCTTCACATTATTTTTCAATTATAAATCCAAAGAGGAAGAGCTATAAAAGCAAACATGTAGTGCCGTAAAATGATTGGAATGTCAAAAGCAAAAGTTGAAACAAAGAGTAAATTTATTTTCTCGTGTTTGAAAACTGATGGTTGCGATCTTCTTCCACCAACTTCACTAACGCTGCCTCGTTTTCTTGTGGCTCTTAGTTATTAAAATCTTAAGGAACTGACTTGACCCACGTATGCAATTGGATTGATCAACGCCTTCACACTAAACTTTATTCAGATAATTGAAAAAACTGACACCGCTGCTTTTTGAGAAAGTTCAAAGCGGGATATTAAGAGATGGGACCGCTTGGCTTTTTGTTCTGGTTCTGCCGTTTACATTGACTGGAAAAGTCTCTTACGAGGATCTTTCCATGGTCCAACCTTGATGTAGGTATGTAATTCATTGACAATTTAGGTACATAAGTCTAGCTATTTACATGTACCTCGCTTCCTTTTATTGAATACTTTATTCTATTAAATCTAATGTTGAATGGTGAAGCACAAAACGGTGTTGTTGGACATTACTTAAACGATGTTATCTCATAATGAAGCTCCAAGATTGATCCTGATCGTTGATTGCTCCCTAAATCTGATAGCCAAGGTTCTCCAACAGTGCAAGTATAAAAGAATACCCTTCAGTCGAATTACATAGCCTTTACACTCCCTGTTTTTGTGATTGAGTTCTTCTTTGTTAGGGTTTCTGATTTCTTGTTTCTCATAGACTTGTAATCTGGTCCGATTGTTGTAATTGTGTTTGAGGGTTGTGTTTCCTTCAAATTGTAAGGATTTGGGTTAGTATTTTCATCTAAGAAAGGTTACGAGTGAGTCTTTGAGAGGATTACAGGGAGTGAGTGATTTGATTGAGTTCAATCTAGTTGTATTTGTAACGAACCCAAGTTTATTGGAGCTCAATGTGGGTAAAAATTCTTTTCTTCTTGTTTCATTTTGCAGTTTGATTATTGATTAATTGTGTGACATTGGGTGTTTTGAGTTTGGGAATCTTGCAATAAACTCAACATCTAAGGATTACAATACTAAGTAAATGCCATTAATGTCCTTCAAAATACAGTTTGAATTTGAAGCAAGGGCTGCTTGGCCCCCTTGACATTAGATTAAAATGTTCAGATTTGTTCATGATTTGATAAATTAAACAATACTGTTCAATGAGTGTTATTGTCATTAAAATTAGGCTTAAATGTAATGAATTGTGACTGAAACTAACCTAAACGCCTGTACTCGGGGCATGATTAACTTCTGATTTACTTCCCCTCCTGTACTTGCATTTCCAACAAATAACGAAGGGATGGTAGAATATATGGAGTGAGTCCCGTAGTCAAGGATTTCAATTTAATCAAACTATTACTTCAATGGGTTATAAGACCTGAGAGTTGCAGCATCAGATTATGGACAAATAGAAAAATTACTATAGCATAGATTCAAAATTTGTGTAGTACCATTAATTGTTCAGTACACTGAGTTACTTCCTCTTCTTCGACTCCATTGCTTTCCCTTGGCAGAAAAGGGTACGTTTGTGTGGCTGGAAAAGAGAGCCACTTACATATGTAGAACGCACACATAAAAAAGGAGACACCATTGTCGCTTAGTGAACAAAAGGACTGGTATAGAAGCAATTACGGTAACAAGAACAGGGACCCACAGCACCCCATCTTTGAAAACAATAAAAATAGTTGCACAAAACACTACCATCATTGCTGCTATTGATAATAAAAGTGTTGCAAGTCCAGCAACCAGCTTTTTTGGTAACTGTGAGAGGAAATCTTCTTCAGCATTACGGGAAGTTAGAATGGATAAAAAGGTTAAGATGGAGCATGCGGAAGATACTAGCAAAACTGCATCTGATATAACAAAAAATTTGAAGGAAGTTTTTTGAACAAAATGAGGAGTCCCTGTCTCGTCTTTGGTGCGACCTGGGACAGTGAAAGCTGCTGCAAAAACCTCAGTGGCAATAAGAGTTGCCACAATCATGCAATAGTTCGCAGTGTCCTTCATCCATTTCTCTCCCTTTTCCTTTAATTCTCCATGCTCTCCTTAGTAAATAATGCTCTAGGAGTTTTCCCTTCACTGTTTTTATCCTGGGCATCCAATGGATGCATAATTTTACTGACCTCCTACAAATAATGTTGTAAAAGATCCTATCACTTAGCGTAACGAATATTGCTTTCTAAACAAAGGAGAACCGTAATACTCACCCTAAACCACAGCAACTCTCGCTGCAGTTGCAGAGCAGCTCCTGATACAACATTGAGCCGATCTGGTGGTGCCAACATTCCAGCCAAATGCAAGATATTATTGTCTTTTTTATCCTTGGAAGCAACTATCAAATCCTTAAAAGTACCTATCTCATGTATGAGTTTGAAGATGCCCCTATGACGATTCATAACAGCAAAATGAAATATGCTATAATTATTTTCATCAACTTCCAGTATCAAATCAGGACATTCACGTATAAGTATAATTAGAAACTCAATGTTTCCTAGTTCTGCAGCAACAAATATCAGTTGTCGGGCAGTTAAACTATATATGTAATGGTCAAGTTAAACTAGGAATTTGATTAACACTCCGAGTCACACAATAAAAATGTCCAACAATGTAACTTACAGTAACCACAACATTACCACTTCATTATGCTATAAAAGAAATCACATTATTGCATAAATGCCATATGGCCAAAATTTTGATTTGTGAAAAGTCCGGAACAAATTCTATATTGCAATAATCAAGATAAATTAGCAGTTTGAAAATATATCATAAAAATCCTTTACCGTCAGAACACACTTGCAAATGATTCTTAGGCAAAAGGTGCTGGTCAGTATAAGAATACATCGTGAAATTATATCAAATTTAACTTGCTAAGAAAATATTTAGTAATAGCAGGTTTGCAAAAATGGTTTCTGAAACAAAAGGAAAAATTAAAACTGAAAGGTTAAAGTGCAAATTTTCATATCTGTTCGCGCTCCTAATCACAATTGTCATGTAAACATATATTTCAACTATAAAACCAAAAACAGTAACTTATATATTAAGGCATGCTGAATATGTCAAAGATTAAAGGAGACTAACAATAATTGACACATTGTTTCCAAAATCCTTGCTGAATTTGAGAGGCAATAGGCATTCAAGACAAGGCAAGCAATGCTGTCTCCTCATTTCCATCACAAGCGACGGCTAACTCTGGGTGTTTCTCTAGCAAATCCAGTGCAACATCTGAGGACACAACAACCATAATTAGAGATGATATAGTATCAATTCTAAATAGTGGAAGTATGCAGTTGCTATATATAATACTATATTAATTATGTTTCATAAAAGGAAAATTTTCAGATTTGTATTCACCAAACCACTTGTGTTATGAAAGGGTTCTTCATTAGTTTTGTCAAATCATATGTCTCTTGATGGGAATTCACAGTGTTCCTTAAAAGAATAATGGGACATTTGTCAAAAAATATACAAGGGAGGATATATTAATCTGACAACCATACATGGAATTTCAATCCTATACCAAAGGTTTCAATCTTACATTGTAAAATTCAATTTGAAAGATATCAAGTGTACTACAATTAGCCAAAATATAAAGAATACCTTTTACATACCATACAAACCGTTGCTTATTAGAGTGATAAGCAATTCAATGTGGTCGTTGTCATATAATGACTCGTCATCAATGGCTTCATAAAGGAACTGTACCATCTCTTTATGGCCAAACAAAGCGGCCATGTAAGGTGGTAATTAACATCTCATTTCTACCTCGGATCATTGCTATGTTTCTACTCCTTTCCAGGACATCAGCTAAGTTTGTACTCTCCTCTATCATGTTGGGAAGTTCCACCTTCTGGGACTCAACAGAAAGACAATAAGCTGTTTTTCCAGCTCCTTTCTTTGCAGTTAAATCCTCTTTTTTCATCTTATTTATCATCACTTGAGCAAGTTCCACATTTCCAGACACAGCAGCAAGACAAAAAGCTGTATTGCCTGCATAATTTTTAGTAGCTAAATCTCTTTATTTATATTATCCACCAGCTTTTTCAAAAAATCAGTTTGCTCTGCTGCAGCTGCAATATGGAGAGCAGGGTCCCCTTCCTTTGATATCCTCGCTCTTATATCATTTTTATGTTTCTTGTAAATACCCTCAGCCATGCTCCAATCACCACTTAGTGCAGCTTGATACAATTTTAAGTGTCTAATTCTTGTTTGCTTGTCTGTCAAGTGGAAGCATTTATAACAAGTTTTATCAATAAAATTGTTGATTCTTTAAAATATGCATATAAAAATACACATATAGGCACCAATATCAATCTATATTAAATAGTAGCTAATATCATGCCTTTGGAAAACAGTTTCTTGCCAAGTTGCCAAAGTGATTGGTAATGAAGCTAAAAGATTTTCCCCACGGTAAACAATCCATCTGAACAGAAACAATAGCACAGGTATAACACATTGTAAAATCTAAGCATACCAGCCAATTGACCATAAGGTGAAGCAATGACAATTTCAACTTCTTCATTTGAACCATTTCCGGATGCAAAGGTATCCCTCATGATTTCAATAGTCGGCATTTTTTGTAAACCTACAATGAACTTTATATTATTAGATAAGTTGAATTGGATAGATTTCTCTTTTATTACAAAATAATACCTCCATCAAATTTTTATATAGTAATTGATTTATCAACATTTTAGTTAACATTACCATATAAAATGAATGATGCAGATAATATCATAAGAGAAACAAGAGTGTTGCATTAGTTATCATATCCATAGTATAAAAGAATCGTAAAGCAAGAAGAAGACATTAGATGCATTTCATCAAATAATGCATAATCTTAGAATTTCAGGATGTCATTACTATTTTGATGTTTTAGTATAACTTACAGTTATATTACTGTAGTTCTACCACAACTACAGAGTACATAACAATGTAAACCGGTGCTTTACATGTTTGAGGTATTGACAATGACCTCCCCTATCGTTTGGGGAAAGTGTCTAATAGATCCAAAAGCTTTTTAATGTAGAAAGACCTCCCTTCAAGTTCATTAATTAATGAAAAATTGTCATCTTAAATCATCTTAATAGCCCTCAAATTTTTCTTTACATTGTTAATAATTAATAAAAGGCCTTGAAAGGAGGTCTCCTTACAATATAACAACTTTATGGTCCAGCTAAACATTCCTCAAACCTCAGGGAGGTCATTGCAAATTACCTTAGTCACTACACGATATTTCGATCTAGATGATAAAAAGTTTCTGACCTTCATAAACAGACTTTTTTATGAACTGCACATTTTGCACAGGCAAAATTTAAGTGTAAATTACTGGGTATACAAAAAGCTGGACAAATATTAGCATAAATTTAAGGATTACAAGGAAAATTCTACAGAAAATGAAAAAAAAAAAATTGTTTGAAACTTTTTTGCCCTCTTGGTAAGACTGACGAGTATCCAAAGCTATTGACAATGGCAGTCCTAAAACAACCAAAAATGGAAACTTGACAAAATAAAACAAAAATATACATTAAAAAGAAGAACTGGTTTCAAAAAGCTTACCTTTTTTACGGCTTAAGATGCAATCCCCCGCTCGAAATGGGAAAATGAAGAAAGAAAAGCTTCAAGTGAAGAGCAAAGAGGAGAATAACGAGGCTGAAAGCTGAGAAAGACGGAAGTAAAGTAGTGGCAGAGAGAAGAACAATCACCAACTCAAACAGAAGTCTCAGCAGCTCTACTCTGTAGCAGCTCTCTCTCTCTCTCTCTCTCTCTCTCACACCCAAGACCAAGAACTACACAGTAGCCATTCACAGAGAGAAAAGGAACACCCTTTACTGATAAACCCTCTGTTTTCAGTATATTACATCTGTACCACTGAAACTTGCCCAAAAAATCTATATATTTTTTTACAATAAAATATTCATGTAACTTTTGAGTCCGATGCTATACTTGTCTTCTTCCACCGCACAAATATGGAAACATTCTGATCGACTCATTAATCTTTTGACTCTCCAAATCGCACTACGCATGATCACAACAACATCTCTGCAGATCTACATATGAGCTTTCATCCTGTTCGCCCATGACCAACGCCGTAAACTTCTCCACCGCTCTTCGCACACCTTCTTCTTCGACCCCTGCTCTCGGCATATCGACGGCGTTCAAGCGCCAAAATCTCAGACCCACTCGCCGATGTCGTTCACTGAGTCCGACACTGACTTCGAGCTTCAGTCCCCGTCACGTTGAGGAAACACTGTTCTGCTTTTGGATTAAAACTTGAATTTTGCTATTCAATTCAGTTATCAAAATGGAGGATACCTTTTTCTGAGGGAAATGTTTACTAAAGTTCATGGTTTTATTATTATTATTAATTGGAATAAAAAGGTTTTAGTTTTAAGAAAAATTGTTATATCTAACAGAGCATGAGCAAGTAGTGGCGGAAAGAAGTATACTGAGGGATCAACTGGCTCGGAGAAATGAGGAAATTAAGAAGCTTAAAGCAGTTATTGATTCTGCATTGAAGGATTTGAGCAATGTAGTTACTCGTTTAAAGGAAGTTTCTCCTTCTAATGAAGAAGAAGATGGAAGAAAAATATCTCAGCAGCCGATATCCCCTGAAGTGAAATCAGCTGACAAATGTGAACAACAAAAAGTTGAGCCAAAAACACCTGAAGTAAGAGCAACAGGAAAACGCAGAAACGATATATGGGGACGATCAAGTGGAGATGACTCGTTGCCACCTTCGAAAAAGTCTCATCTCAGCCGGAGCACAGGTCGGTCCTTTCCTTAGTTTTAGATTTTCTCAAGTGTTTGGGGGTTCTCTATGGAGTTTGAAGTCTTTTTGCTATAGAGGATTTTCTCATTGTACTTAGTTTAAAGCAATAATGTTGGCTAATATACCTCGCATCAGTTACTTATCGTCGACTCGTTGAACAATAAAATCTACATTTTAAATCCAGATTTGAGAAAAATTATGCAGGCCTGATTTTTGTTGGCCTCTAGTCACTGCTCCTTCGTCTGGCTTGGTTGCCGTTCATATAAGAACAAAGTGTCTTTATTTGGGTGGAACAGAGACTACTTTTATAGGTTGAATATGCTGCATCGAGAAGAAACCCTCTGTTGCTTAGTGAACCCGATGACTAGCACAGAAGCCATTATGGTGACAAGAATTGGAGGCCATAGCTCCCCATCTTTGAATGCAATGAAAATAATTGCACAAAATGCTACCATTGATACATGAAGTGTTGCCAGTCCAACATAACTTTCTCGGCAACACAGAAACAAAATGAAGTTAATGCTCTTTGTTTTAAGTTTTGATTAATATCAGCATCAAACGATGTATGCTTAAAAAAAAGGATAATACTATACTTATAAAGTCCTCCTACAAAGATATATATATAAAATGATGTGTCATATTATGATTGGACAGTGAATTTGACTTTAGTTAAAAAGTTGACTTTATAAATTCACTCTCTCAATCATGATATGACACATTATTTTATACACATATCTTTGTATGAAGACTTTGTAAATGTAATATTATTCTAAAAAAAACATTTGCGGCTTTCAGCTTGCGGTTTGAGTATTTTCTTGAAGCTTAGAATAAGCATATTCTAAATGTTTTTTTGGAAAACTTCTTGTCTATATAATTATATTCATGGGTTGCGACCTTTATGAAACATATACTTTAGAATATAAAGGAGAAGGTTCTGTTTAAGTTCAATTGTGTACGTTAGAAAGTGACATAGCGAATGGCTGATGCAAGATTAATCTGAAAAGAAAATAATTGTTTGTGGAGATGGCAATCAGCAGAATCCCACATATTGAAGAAAGTATTATAAGGTGCAGGAAACATTTCGCAAACGGCTGTACAGTTAGGCATGGTTTGAGCAGAAGATGGGAATAACCAATTTTGTGAATTGGTAAGAGCTTGTTGTAGCTAGCTTCTGGTGGGCCTTATGCTACTACTGATATGGGGTCCAAGATGGATCAGGCTTATTAAAGGCATGCAATGTTATGGCAAATTCAACATAAAGTTGGGCTGGGATAGAGAATCCATTGGGAAGGTCTGGGTCCTTGAATTAGATCTTGTTAATGTCAAATTTGATCTCTCTTTATTTCGGTTGAGATTTTGAAAAATTTGATTCGTTTTATTTGATGGTTTCTTAGTAAATTTGATCACTCTTTAGAAAACATTAATATTCAAAGAACGATGCATAGGGTTGCACATTTATATAGATCATTTGTCATGGGTTTGAGTAAAACTCTACATTTAGAGACAATTTTGGGACGCATTAATATGTGAAAACGGTCCTTACCTTCGAAAAGTCTCTTTTAGTCCGAGCACAGGTCGTCATTTCCTTGTTTTAGCTTGATTTTAAGGTTTTTGCTAGACACTATTTTCTCTTTGTACTTTCATTTATCTGAGAAATTTTATCTTATATGAACAGAAGATGAAATTAAATTTCTGGGTTTTGAATTTTAAATAATTCAGTATCAAATGAGCATTTAGAGAGACATTTGCGAGTGGGCTGGCTTTCAGGTTTCGTTGCAGCTAAAGAGAAGCTTATCCTAAGCAACTTTTCAGAAAAAAAACAATTGGTGGTCGAGATATTATATGCATGGGTTGCGTGCTTTATGAAGCTTTTTAAAATATCAGTGATGAATGGTTCTGTTAAGTTCCATTTTATATATTAGAGAGTGACTTATCAGATGGCTGAAGCAAGATGAGTCTCAGGGGAAATGTAAGAAAAAATTGATGTTTTCATATTCTTCTAAAGATTAATCAATGTCTATTCTGTTACGCAATTTATTTTGATAGGGTTCTTAATCTCAATGTCTATTATGCTTATAATGGTACTATTAGACTTTAGTCTGATTTATTTGTTAGCTTTTGATTCTTACAGAAAAGCTTGTTTCCATATCCCTTTTGTTTAACAGAGAAATTAACAAAATTATCATTTACAGTAAAATAATTTGTGTTCATTATTCTTTTTTAGTGTGTACTTGAACCGGTTTCCGTAACTACAAACACATCTAGGAGGTACTTGGCTGGAAATTGAGACATAAAAAGTAAGATATGTACTACAAGGCAAAGGATAGTTTGTGCGTATTGCAATAATATTTCCTACAAATTATTGAGGTCTGTTTGGTTACAATTTTGCTTTCAAAATCTCCAATATTTGGTGTAGAACAAATGCATGTGAACAACTTTGTTTCTCAGGCATTTTGACATTACATGTCTAAAAAAAGTTAAAAAAGAGAAGGAAAAAAAAAATGTTATTTTCACAAATAAAAAGAAAATAAAAAACGAGAGAATTGTAGTAAATGTTTTAGTAATATCAAAGTTATTTAATGCAAATATATAATTTTATTATATTAATGTCATTAAAGTCTTATATTTTAATGATTCTAATATATATTCTTACAACTCATTTTAAGATTTTATTTTTATTTTATTCATACATGGAATTTTGTCTCATGCTATCAATGACGATATGAATGTGAAAAGAAGAAAAAAAATGTAAAAAATTTAAAGCGAGATTGGGAATAGGAAGGCATCCTCTCCTTGCCCAAATGAATATTGATAACATCCCTAATTTTAGTCATCTAATTCCAAATTGTATGTCTGCTGAAAAATTTATTATCAAAAAGGAATGCATAGGTGTAGATTCCTCCTGTTCTATAAATACATCATATGAGTGAGAATAAATTTTAAGTTATGAGAGAAAAAAATTTGAGGTATTTTATCTAATAAAAGATGTAAGAAAAGTATGACTTAAACATCTTGGTAATTGAGTGATAAAACACAGAACTATTTACAGGCTATGTTCGGTAATATTAGACTTTAGTCCGGTAATTGACTGATAAAACACAGATACTAGATCATTCGGTGCATATATGTTTTCGTTGTGCATGATTATAACAGTAATATTACACGTTAGTCCAGTTTATTTGTTAGCTTTCGATTCTTACGGAAAAGCTTGTTTTCATATCTCTTTCGTTTAACAGAGACATTAACAAAATTATCATTTACAATAAAATAATTTATGTGTTGAGTATTCTTTTTTAGTGTGTACTTGTACTGGTTTCATATAACTACAAATACATCTACGTTATTATCTTAGTGATAATATATATGAAAATTTTGTCCTGTCATATTAGTGATATAACAAGTACAAAAGATAGTATGAATATGAAAACAAGAAAGAAATACTATGAGACATATTGAGATCAATCATGCACTTGGATTTGTTGGTAGATATATAAACAAATTGGTTTAGGAAATATAATACTTGCGACTAAAATACATCACATGTCTTCAAAAGTTTATGTACAATTATTTTACTGTTTCACATGTCAATTACATATTACTTTATATTCTAAAATAATTAAGAATGTTAAACATTTTATCACTATTAAAAAGTTTCATCTATAAGATCTAGTTTTGCTATCTACTGATGCAATATATATAATGTTTTAATAACACTTATAAAAGAGCAATTGAAATCTCTTTTGTAGAAAGTATTGAAACTCATAGTTTTTTATGCTAGATTTTTTTATTGTTTGAAGAATGTCTAAGAAAAGAAGTTAATGTGCAACAAAGACATGATGTATTAGTCATGGATTTGCGGTGTAGACATATAGAGACAACCTTGAATATAAAATATAATAAAGTTATAAGTTTTGGACGGACGAAATTTCTCTAAGACATGGCTGATCCAAAGAAGTCACATAATGGGGAGAGAGGGGGAGTTAAAACAAATAACATGATTAATAACAAAGATTAAAATAAAGTTCGCAATAGACTTAACGAATAAGAATAAAATAAAGAGAATAATGACAAAGATAAAATAAAGTGATTAATATTAAGTTTTGTCTTATCTTACACGCGAAAACAGCTACTAAAGATATTGTGAATGTGAAATGAAGAAAGAAAGA